ACGACCAATGTATGACTCGAGTTGCTGCTTGGCCTCGAATTTCTTGGTGAATGCCTCGTCGCTGGTTTTGAATTTAGCAGCGTCCTCAACCATCTTTTCGATCTCAGTGGTAGAGAGCTTGCCGACAGCGTTGGAGATGGTAATGTTGGCGCTTCGACCGGAGGATTTCTCGGTCGCAGTGACCTTAAGAATACCATTGACATCTACTTCGAACACAACTTCGAGAGCAGCATCTCCAGCACGTTGTGGGGGGATTGGAGACAGAGTAAACTCGCCCAGAGAAGTGTTGTCCTCGCAGTTGGTTCGCTCTCCCTGGTAGACGGGGAACTGGACGGTTTGCTGGTTGCTAGAGCGTGTTAGCAGGCAAGTTAAATCAGCGAAGCGAAGCTACTTACTCGACGACAGTGGTGAAGGTTCTATTAAAGATGTCAGCAAATGTCATGCTACAAGCAAAGTATCGATGTGACAAGATTGTGAATTGTTTGGGACGAGAGTAATTTTTCAAAACTTGGGAGCTGGAGCCAGCTTTGGAGCGGCAGTGATGGCTGCCCTATTCGTAGTCTGCGAGGATACCCGTATAGGATGACGCATTCCAGGAAGAAAGGCCTCAGTGGAACACAGGTGGGAGGGCAAGGATGTTGGAAATAAATATGACATGAAGATAGGCGACTCTTAGGAGGAGTAATAACAGGACAAAGAAAATGAGATGAAAGAGAAGGAGAAGTGAGATGAACTGACCTCTTCTTAACGCAAGGCACCGTGTTGCCGCGAGGAACAACGGGAGCGAAAATGTTGCCTTCCATAGCCACACCGAGAGATAGAGGAACGACATCGAGCAGGAGAAGGTCGGCAGTCTCAGCAGAGGTGGCTTTGCCGGACAGGATACCTGCCTGCACGGCGGCTCCGTAGGCAACGGCTTCGTCGGGGTTGATGCTCTGTTCCAGTGTTAGCAAAAATCCAAGTCAGTCCAGGGTATAACGAACCTTCTCCAGCTTCTTGCCGTCGAAGAAATCGCTCAGCAATTTCTGGATACGAGGGATACGGGTTGAACCACCAACAAGCACAATCTCGTCCACCTTTGTTTTCTCGATGTTGGCGTCTTTCAGGACTTGTTGGACAGGCTCCAGGGTACCATTGAAGATCTTGGCATTGAGATCCTCAAATCGGGCACGGGTGATGGTGGCATTGAAATCTTCTCCATCGAACAGCGAGTCAATCTCGACTGTAGCCTGGGTGCCATTCGACAGTGTTCTCTTCGCGCGTTCGCAAGCGGTCCGAAGACGTCGAAGAGCACGGGCGTCACCAGACAAATCCTTCTTGGTCTTCCTCGTGAACTCTTTCTTGAAGTGCTCAAGAAGGTTGGTGTCAAAGTCCTGACCACCCAAATGGGTATCTCCAGCAGTAGCCTTGACGGTGAAGACACCACCTTGGATGTTTAGGAGAGAAACATCGAAGGTACCACCACCAAGATCGTAGATGAGGACGTTTCGCTCCTTGTCTGACTTGCCAGATCCAAGACCGTAGGCGATGGCGGCAGCAGTGGGCTCGTTGATGATACGGAGGACGTTGAGGCCGGAAATGGCACCAGCGTCCTTCGTGGCTTGTCGCTGATTGTCATTGAAATAGGCAGGCACCGTGACAACGGCCTTGGAAACTTTCTTGCCCAGCTTGGTCTCTGCAACCTCCTTCATCTGTAGCGCAATGCTTTAGTGGTGTCCGGTATGGTGCGCGGAAAAATGAGGGCTCTCACCTTCATCAAGACCATGGAGGAGATTTCCTGGGGTGAGAAAGTCTTGGTTTCCCCGAGGTATTGGACCTGAACCATGGGGTTGCCGCCCTGGTCAACGACCTTGAACGGCCATGATTCGATATCCTTCTTGACCGTTGGGTCATCAAATCGTCTTCCGATCAATCGCCTGCGCCGAGGTTAAGAAGAATTCATTATGTTATAGATAGATCCCACTGACTTGACGTCAAAGACTGTGTTTTCCGGGTTCATGGCCGCCTGATTTTTCGCAGCCTCGCCGATGAGGCGCTCCTCGTCGGTGAAGGAGACAAAGGAAGGGGTGGTGAAGCTACCTTGCTCATTGGCGACTGCGGCGGCGATTAGCATATCACTCGGCTTTGCGGCTAGGTAGAAGAGGTGGGCTTACTGATTTCAACATTTGTGCCTTCGTAGACGGCGACGCAGGAGTAAGTGGTACCTGTAGGAATTCTTTGTTAGATACCGCAGACGTCGGTGAGAGCGGGGAGCAAGCAGCATACCAAGATCGATGCCAATGGCACCCTCATAGACTTCGTCTGCCATATTGACGGTATGATAAGATATTTTCCCCTCAACCAAGACTGCAGGAGGACACAAGAGGAAAAGGAAGATGCGAGGGTGTTGTAGGCAAAAAGGTGGAAACAGCCTACCACTGCAAAAGTTCTACCCTTCGACAACTTTTTAGCCACGGACCACATAAATTTTCCAAAATTTTGGCCAAGAACTCGGTAACTTTATGTCGCACTTATTCCGATCCGGTTGCAGTGGCGCTGCTTTTTAAATATCCATGAGCTAGCCCGAGTTATCCTAGAGCTCACGTGATATTTTGGCACAAATCTCAGGGTCCATGGAGAACTGGATTGTAAAAACAGCGTCACTGCTTCCAGACTTTTGGAGCATTGCCGTTCGGGCGTCTCACATCACTACAAGTACCTCGGACTGAAAACAGTGCAATACTTTATACTCGGGTGTCGAGAGACACAAGACCATGTGCATCCACATCTCAACGCCGACGCATGCCTCTAGCGATTGAACAGGCCCAATAGAACTCCCCCGGACCAATATACAGACAGTACTCCCACAAACCAAAAATGTATTTCAAATCCTCACTTTTCCAAGAACACAGCACTCCAATGGAGCTCCCAGAACCTGCGCCTAACCTGAAGAACTTTGCGAGAGCCCCTGCACCTACCGCATCGGCGTCTCATTCTCCACGAGTACATGCCCATCTTCACTGCCAACACGTTGCCCGGGTTTGAACTTGTCTGGGAACCAAAGAAAGAAAGTCATCTGCACAATACACATAGGGATCGCATCAAAGACGTAGGCCGGCCAATCATGGGACAGCAGATACGAATCCACTCCCATGATATACTCGACCACCCGAAAGACTGATCGCACCATGATCAGCGCACTGCAGAAGTATATCATCCTCAACCCTTGTTTCCATGGGATATTTGGCCATGAGGCGGTGTCTTTCCCGCCGGACCGCCGCATCCTCGCGTGGAATACCCACGCAACCGCGATGAAGCACCCAAAGGCGATCAACTGGATAAACAGACCAGCGATCACTATGTACTGCCCAATCTTTTGAGTCTTGTCCTTGGCTGTCAAGCCGGCACCGTTTCCCTGCACGTTCAGAGATAGAATATCCGCCACGACGAATAGCTTGGTCATCCTGGCGGGCCGAATGACGGAGAAGCGCTCGCCGTGCACGCTACGAATGAGCCGACCGAGGACCATGTAGATGGAGGCGGCATATAAGACGGGCGCCAATAGGATGAAGGAGCTCTGGACTGCGTACGGCGCAATGAGATCGGTGCGGTAATGAGCGAATATGCGAACACTAAAGCCGATTACTTGAACTGGAGAGAAAGAAGGTTAGCAAGAGCAAAAAATGTCTTTTTTTCCCAGGTGAGATTTCCCCCCATCCACACATGAGGGTCAACCATGGATACAGACATGTCAAATTGGGCAGATAAACTTACACAGTCCACCAACGGCAAAGGGGATGCAGAACCACGTCCGCGTCCTGTGTATGCGCCTGCAAAGAGCGGCGGTGGCGCCTGCGAACAAGATGATGGCTGCGGCTGAGGCTGGGACTGACGGGAGGTACTTCCAGAGGTAATAGTCCGTCCCGGCCACGGGTTTGAGTTGTGTCATGGCTGCGTGATGCGGATGAGTGTTGAAGAAGATGCCACACGATCGAGGGAGGGAGGGGGGTTTCTTTTCGAGAAGTCTCGCAATGGGGGACAAGGCCCTGCTTGGACGATCAGATTCCTGCTTGTTCAGAAGAAAAAAACGCCGTTGTAGTCGTTGGGCCAATGTTCACAAGTTCCTCCCGTTGAGAAATAGGAAACAGTATATATATACATATATGTCTCCTATAAACTTTTAGGGCGTAGATAATACTAGACCCCTAGACTGAGGCGCAGATGTCAATGATACGGGTCCACCCAATGCTTCGGGTCCTGCAATATTATGCGTCTTTTGTCCCCATCACCAACACCCATGCCTCCCCCCGTCTGAATACATGATACAATGTGCCCACGCAGAGTCTAGTGTACGTGTAAGGAATGCGTCCACTTTATTATTTAGGGACCACCTACCCACCCACCTACAAGTAGACACATAATACATGGGCTTTGTTAACGAGTTACTTCTACTCTATCTGTTTCTGGATCTACCGGGTCCCCCTCAAGAGTCCCCACCCGCATTGTACGTTTTGGGTTTAGTTTACGCGTACACTAACGAGAATGGGGCGTCTCGCGAGTTCTATGAGACGGACGAGTGGGCAGTGGGCACTTAATTAGGGCAACTGGGCATGAAAAGTACATCGTACCTATTGGGTATTGGGTATTGTGTGCCTCGTCTTGGGTGGGTGAATCGAGTTCTTTGTTTCGCCTTGTGGTTGGCGAATACTCGTACTCGGTTTCCTACCACCAAGTTCAAAGTACATAAACTGGAGATCCGGCTGTGGCCCCTCCCCTTGCTCGTAGTACTTGACCGGTTCAAGAGGTAGAAGGACGATAAGTGCTGTTGGTACAACCTAGAGGGAAAAAAAAATAGGCAGCAAGATTCTTTTTGTGGGACCCCGTGTTCTGAACAAGGCTTTATTCATTCTCTGTCTCTCCGACATCTCTCGCGCTTTATACCCGATCTTTCAAAAGTCCAAAGGTATGCGCCAGCCACCCCCCAGAAGAGGGGGTTTCCAAAACCCAGTCAGTCAGTCTTGTCATGTACCCGAGTTCTCTCCAAGGGCAGCGTTGGGGAACTTCAGCCATTCCTGCCACTGCGAGCCCAGGTCCCGACATATAGACTCGATGAGGAATCGGCCACTATCGCCAAACAGCCACAGGTCGCGGCACCGGTGCAGCAAAACGGCATAATGCGCGAGGATGATGAGTGCTTCCGGCTGTCTATGGCGCAACAGGTCGACGTATTCGGACGGGACGAGCGCCGGCCAAGCAAGCACTGTGGGCACTGCGATCTTGGTCCCCGCGGCAGCACGCTGCGCATTGAAGACCCGCTGGAGATGGGAGATGGATTCTTGATAAGCCTTGCGAGAGCACGATGCTATGACTGCCGTGTTGACCATGGTCCCAAGTATGTCACATTCTGACCCATTCGCGTCCCTGGTCTCCATGAGGGCTTGGGTCAGTTTTAGGCGCGGTCCTAGCTCCGACTCGAGTAGCAGATCGCGGCTCTCGTCAATGACGGCGAGCATACCCCGGTAGACACTCAGACAATGCGTGAACCTATCAACAAAACTTTCGAGGCTGTCTCTCTGGTAGTGTAATGTTTCACACAGCAGGTGGAGTCCGACCCCTGACGAGAACAGGAACATGCGCACGCAATTGGCGCGCGTCACTTCCAGCACCGGATTAGCTTCGTTGAAAAGACACAAAGCGCGGTTTTGTAGACCCGTGGCATACTCGCGGTAGGTGCTGCGGGTGTCTGTCTTTGTCGTGCTGAGGTGTAAGGCTGATGTGGCGAGCATCTGATGCATTAGATACGGGTTCGTCAGAGCATGTCTTGCGTAGATGCGGGTGGTCATGAGATCTGGTCGCCCTGGTTCCTCAATGGAGCAACATTCCTCGCTGAAGAGGTTATCGAAGAGCTCGAGATGCATCATGTTTACACTGTATGGATCCAGCGGTTCCTGGTTGCTCACGGTGTGCTCGGGCCATGGCGTTGGAGTTGGTGTCGACACCCCAGTAGACGAAACCCCAGATCCCGCCGGTGGTGTGCAGGAGAAGGCAGGTGTGATATAAGGCGTGTTGTTATCGAGAAATGAACACCTAATCTCTGCCGAGGCGCAATTGGCGCATATTGGCTGGTTTTGATCGCACTTTGAAAAATGGTCAATCCTGGTTTAAATGACGTTGATATCCCTGAGTCGAAATACATACCTTTATGTGCCGCCTTTTGCAACCAAGACATCCGTTTCTGGTCTTCTTGTGAGGCCGACGAGACATAGATCGGTATGGAATATGCAGACGCCGCCAGTGGATTTCGAAGCAATCTAGTGCCCTTGGTGGAATATGGCATGTTCCGGAGAAAAGATGTGGTCCATGCACCCTCGAATATGTTCACATTTAGAGTTAGGTCGAGGACACGGTGCAGACGAAAGGACAATCAGAATTGCACAATCAAACAAATTTCAGTGTATAGGTAGATCAAATATGGCATTCTAGCCCGTGTATACATGCGATACAAGAAAGACAGAAAGCCATGGAACAGAGAAACTGGTAAAGGCACGAGGAAGGTACAGCGACTGTTGCCTAGAGAATCTATCCACCGTGCCAACTTGGCGGAGGGTCGAGGTATCCTCATTCTCTCTTGTTCTCCATGGTGATCAGTAGGAGCTGCTCTCCGGCAGAATGACAAGGAACAGGCAGCAATTTTCTACTACCAAAGACTCGAGACGAAAGAGTCGGTTGGTTGGGTTACATAGACACAAACCAATATCAACTGGCACCACTAAGGCACTTCTGGAGGAGGAACCAGTCTTTTCCTTGTACAGTACATATCATAGACCGCCAGCTTCGGTGGGTATCATGTCTCGAGTTGTTCTAATAACTTCCCTTGCGCCAGTTCATTCCTCGCCCGGTATCGTCCTTACTGTCGTAGATTTACCAACCCATCTGGCATCATCTCTGATCAATCCAGAACACCACTTTCTCTTAAACCGGCAAGCAGCTCTGGTTCCAGGAATCTCTTAACATCCACATCTTCGCTCAATCCTTTCCTTCGTCTCGTCTTGAGCACAAAGTCTCTCGCCGCTTGCTGAGGCGCAGCCATCTCCAGCGGTCTTATGCGTATGCTTTTGTCCAATGGGTCTCCAGGGACAACATCCCACCGGTCAAAGACCAGTGACACACTGGCTGCTCCTTGACTGTGAATCCGCAGGTCCGTCTCAAATCCAAAACTGTCAATCACTGGAAGAAGAGCTTTGGCTGCATATAGTGGCGTCCCTGCCACAGGCCCATCAGAAACGACATGTCCACGCCTCTTCATCAACACTGTATAAAGACCAGAAATCGAGTCGGCTGGACCAGTCATATGCACGCTGTAGATTGGCTCCATGAGTCGAGGGCTGGCCATTAGAAAGGAACTGTAAACTGCTCGTCGAGCGGTTGGGATGATTTGGCCTCCGCCGCGGAAGATAGGCTCCGTCGCGAGCTCAGCTCCTGTAACACGGAATTTGGTGTTGCGGATGGGTTCCTCACAGAGAGGTCCTTCTCGCGTCCCCCATGAAAAGCCTTGCTTGATGCTCTCTTGCACAGACTTGAGCAGCTTCTTGTCCGTGGTCGAAGGTAATGTATCGTCACATAGGATGTTGGGCCCCATCTCGTCCGGGCCAAATGCCCATATTGATCGGGCCGCCAGTTTATCCCATTCGTATTTCTCTTCAAAGAACTTGGCAACTTTTCGGATTGGATCTCGAATTTTGACATTACCAGCCTCGATGTCCTCGGCGATCCCATCATCTAGCGGTTCAGCGATCATGGTCAGTTTGTTCTTCTTGTTAGGCGTCAACGCGTAGCACATGATAGCGCTCGTCTCGGTCACGGTTTCGCAGAAGCGAGTGACAGGATCCGAGACTTTGATGTCCATCTCCGCATATAGCGTTCGCAGGTCATGTAACACACAATCCATGTATAGTTCTCCTGTTCCTAGGACAACGTGCTCCCCAGACTCCTCGACTTTCGTGGTAATCAACGGATATGACTTGTTGATCTTACGCAAGCCTTCGAGCATCTTGGGAAGTTCGGATGGATTAACAGGTTCAACTGCAACTTTAAAGACGGATTCTGTGAAGTGGCGTATCGGCTTGAAAATGTATGCATCCTCGTTCTCTGGAAATTTCTCGGAAACAACCGTGGCTGTCTTGACGATAGAGTTGTCGATTCCAGATAATAGCACGAGATTTCCTGCAGGCACACCCGAGACGGGTATGTTGTACCGTGAACAGGCGATCTGCACGCCCATAATAGTCGCCGTAGTCGAATCTTCCTCGTCTTCGAGACTGTATGCCTCTCCAAGCACTCGAACCACCTGATCGGGTGATGCTGTACCAGACATAATGCGACCAAAAGCATTGAACGTTTTGGCATCTGTTGAGCTGAAGAGTTTTGTGACCTCAATAACCAAGGGCCCGTCTGAGTCGCATTTTGTCATCGACTCACCGACCTTTGATTCTAGGGAACCTGTGTAGTAATTGTCGAGCATTCTTCGTGCGCCATCGACAGGCGAAGGTACGTGCTGCACAACCATGTCGACGAAACCACTCGCAGGCCCAAAAAACTGAGCGCACACCAGTTTAAGCAACACTTTGGCGTCTGACTTGAGCTGCGACGGTTTGAGTGTGATACCCAGCGTCTGTAGAGTCGGTGCCAGGTCTTCAGGGCTTTCACTGATGGTGTGGGAGTATAGCTTGTAAATGGGCTCCAGGACGAAATTCACAAATGCTCTCTTTGCTCCCTCTTCCATCCCTTTCCGCGTAAACTTTCGACTTCGAGGGTTGAAGAAAATATCCCCCCAAAGCCTTCTAGCAAACTCGGCAGCGTCGATCTTGGGGTAGGTTTCGGCGTACATCTTTGCAAAGGACGGTAACGTGAACACCCAGTCCATGGATGTGCATGCAAAAGCCACATTGCCCTTTTCAGGTGATAGCCGCCGTTTTTCACCGCGGCCTGGAATGGTGTTCTCAATGACTGTGTTAACCTCCTCAACAACGTGTTTTAGTTTGAAGTATGCGTCTGTCGGTGGTATTTTCAGCTCGAGGATTAGGCGGTCCATTTTGTTTATGACCAAAACCATCGGTATGTCCTCCAGAACGGCGTGCTTGATGACTTGCTCGGTGTTGACCTGGACGCCTTCTACCACATCAACGACGAGCACCACACCGTCGACCAGTCGCAAGCTCGAGGCTACCTCGTCCACAAAGTTCACATGTCCGGGTGTGTCGATAATGTTGAGGATGTGCGATTTCCCTTTCGTGCCTTGCATGACCATACTGATCGGCGCAGCCTTTATAGAAATCCCTCGTTCTCGCTCCAGGAAATGTGTGTCGGTATATCTCAACTGTTCGTCCCTCCTCTTGCCTACCCTCTTATCCAATCTCTCTTCCAAATCATGTGTCTGCATGACCAACATATCCACGAATGCCGTCTTGCCATGGTGTAAATGTCCTGCCACCGCAATATTTCTGATACCTTCGGGGAAATTTAGGAGATCGGTCATGAAGTCTCTCGAGTAGTGGACCGGAGGGAGGTCTGCTTCCTGCACCTGGAACTTCTTCTGCGTGACGGGCGCAATGATCGGCTGCGTGAGCGGCTGCGCATCCTCTTCCTGCACTAAAGTCTCGACTTCTTCCCCGTACACCTGCTGTGCCGTGGGGTAGTACTGTTTGTCCTCGTGTAGTATCACAGCATTGGAGGGTCCTTCGTCATCAACTTCCATGGCCTCATCCGCTGGAGCTTGTTCCTCGGGTTCCGACTCCTCGTCGTAGACATAGTGTTGGCCGGCGGCGCCATCTTGAGAAGCCTCTTCGTCGGAGGCGGCTTCGCCGATGAAGTTGCCAAACCTGCGTCAACTGTCAACTAAATATCCATTTGCACAGGCTCTCGTGTACGACTTACTCGTCATAGAGGTCATCCATATCGATTGATGAGTTGCTCGAGGTAGAGAGTTCGCGGCGCAAAATGAAGCAAATTCCCTGAACTTCCCTGAACTGTGGAGTTCAAAATTTAAAGTGGAGTCGCCATTTCCAACGCAGGCCGCAGCCTCGTCCAGCCTCGCCCATTCTTGCATGTAATTCTCACCCCTTATCCGCAATTGCGAGGCGGGGAAGGCTGACATCGCAAAACGACTGACTCACTTAATCAACATCGATTGCTTTTCAAGGGTCCAGCAAAATCACCTTATTGATTTTTATTCAAGTATTGGTGATTGAATCGTATCTGACCATCCGCCCGGAACCGGCGAGAAGTAACAGGCAGGAACACGCTTTTAGAAGCAGATCATACACCAACTCTCCTCTGAAGCCTTTTTGACGATTCGTACTCCGCTGATCTATGCCCCATAGCAATTTGGCGCCGCCATGCATTTACATCAAAGATTCGAGCACCAGAGCGCTCGCCCCCACCACC